GCCCGGGCCCCCCCGACCCGCGGGGGGGACACTGGCCACCGCGTCTCCTGCTGCTGCCGCCCCTTGCCTCACTCACCACACATCCATACGTACAGATATGGGTCTTTGTGTACAATCTACCCTATACAGCCTGGTTTTTCTGTCCTGCCTCGGCTCCTTGGGGCACCCATGGTGCTTTCCAGTCCACTGCTCTGTACTATGGTTTAAGCAGGTGGGAAACGCGAAAGGTCAGTTAGCAGCATCACAGCATCACAGTGCAGATCCTCCGAGGGCAACAGCTCTGAAGGACCTGAAAACGTGGCAGTCAGCTGGAGCCAACGCCAGAGCTGGTCCTCTGCCCTGGGCAGGCTGGGAACCCGTTTGTGGCACTGCTCCGGTTTCCAGCTCTTTCAGAGCTTCTTTCAGCCATTCCCTGCAGGGATGTCCAGTGGCACACGAGCACATGTACCAAATCAGACCTCCAACCAGACCCTTCCCAAACTGGGTGCTCTGGAAGGAAGATGGTACAAGAGAAGAGACAGCCCTGGCAATCCCCTTCAGGGTTGGAAAGAGTTTTGCTTCTTTTTCCCACTTTGTGCTATTAATACGGCTGTCACTTTCCTTTCAGAAAGCGCCCATGTGCCACACAATCTGTTGTACCACATTTAGTCCGCTAACCAGTGCTGGAGAAAATGGTTTGCATCCAACGTTAACACGAAGTGTCTGAGCACGACACAAATACATTCATGTATGCTGAATATTTACCATGGTCTTTATCCAGCTCCCACTGCAGACAGAGATTGCCGTGAGCGGCAGCATCACCAGGGCAGGGGACCTGAACAGTCCCTGGGAGCCAGGCAGCATCCTCAGAGTGAGCTCGGTCCCACTGGCGAGGCCCTGCCATGGGCACCTCGAGACCCTGACTCACCTGGAAGCCACGAGTGGTCAGAAAAACTCTCTTGGGAGGGAAATTTCAGGAAACAGTTCACACTTGGCTAGTGCTTAACTAATTTTGACACGTTCCATCTCAGCAGAGAAACCTGCACTGCCTTCCATGTCCTGCTTTTAGGCAAATGAACCAAAAGTGAATCAAGATTTCCAGACATAGTAGTTGTATCATGAAACAAAACATTTCACATTGTCCAACTGAGACACTCTGAGATGTGTGTGGGAACAAACGTTCCACCTGCACCATTTTCTCTGGTCAAACCCACACTTCCCGACAAGACGTGCTGGTTCCAGAGAAACGGCCCCTTTCAGTAGAGCCCTTCCCCTGCCACCCTCCAGCCTGGGCAGTCTCCCCACGTGCCAACAGCTGTGCCCAACGGATGTATTCAAGCCCCACAGGCTTCTCCCTCCCCAGCACCTGAGGATGCCCGCGAGCTGCCTGGCGAGCGCCCGCGGCTTCGCCCGCACGAGCCAGGTCTGCTGCGTACCCGGGCTCGGCAGCCTCCACGCACCGACAGCGCTGGCAACGCGGCCACAGGCCTCAAACCCTGTGCTCAAACAAGACTGTCCTTCCCAAGAAGTCCTGGGAGCAGAAGGCTAACCCGTGTCCACTACAGAAGTCTTCACACACGTACTCCTCCATCCAAGATGTTCTCAGCCACAGCAGCGGGGCTGGTGCAGCCCACCTCAGCACTGAGCCCATGGAGAGGAAGGCATGGAGTCTCCAGAAAATCTCTGCATGCACGTCCAGACAAAAGAACTGTGTCTAAACGCATGAATGGGTCTGTCGACCCAGAGTCGCCCTGCCCAGCCCAGCAGCAGCACCGCGGCACCTACCACTATTAAGGGCTGGGCACAGACTGTGCACATGGCTGCACAGCCACAAAGGAGGAGCTGACAACATTTCTTCAGAGTGTCAAAAGCCTCATCAGAATAATGACATTCATGAGCAGGCTGGGGAAACGCAGCACAGATGAACCTACCAGAGGGCAGGGACAAAGCAGTCTGGAAGAAAAATACATTAAGGGAGACTCTCTCAGCACAGAGTGGGACAGCGAGGACTCGGCAGAAGCATGCACTGAGGTCAAGCTGACCCTATTATCACTATCACAAACCACTGGGCACTTGTGCCTGGGCATTTTCCAGAGGTGGAGAATCATCATCACCAGTAGATCAGGCACTACGCAGAGCATCCTTCCGATACCATCAGCACAGCAAGCAACGGGAGAGCCACAATACTGCACTCAGCTGATGGGAGAGGCACACACACACGTGCACCGAGCTCCATCTCTGGACAAGAGCACCTTCCCAAGCCCATCGCAGCCAATTCCCTCCCCGGGACAGTTATCCCATACACACAACACAGCAGCACCAGCCTGGCACAGCACAGCCGACACGCAACAGCCAGTTGCAAAAAGAACAGGCACTGAATGGCCATTCATCTTCAGCAGACCTCTGCATAAGACAACAGTAAAGCCTTGCTCACTAGAGAGACCGAGTAAACAGATTAAATGGGATTTAGGAATATGGAATAAATAGGATTTAGTAATGTAACTGCAGAAATTGCTGCTCTTGCAGCTGAAACGGAAAAAAAAAAAAAGTAACTCACAAGGGGTTAGAGAAAGAAAGAGGCTGTAAGGAGTCAGGGCTCCGACACACTTAGCCAAGGCTAAGTGCATCAGACAGGCAAAAACCTCAATTTTCTGGGAAAGGAGCTAAACAGTGGTTGTAGCCTTCGGCCATTGAATTGAATGACACTCATTTCATCTTGAGTAAAGGACGTAATCCCAGCTGAAAGAACGTTTCATGGACATTGCTGTCAGAAAAAGAGATAGAGACAAAGGCTATGGCCAGGGGAGGCAAAGGTGGGGAA